GCAAAACCTGAGCATTCTCTAATTGTCCTTAGAGGGCTGAGCCTCAGCAGCAGATTAAAAGTTAGCTGTTGTTGGTTACCCACCAGAGGCTCATATTGCCTCATGCATCATTGTGGCAATGTAACTTCCATGTTTGCTATTTCCCTGATTCCTGGCAGATGCAGAACAAACTGTTCCATACTGGTTGCTTGTTCAACTTCAGTTGCAACCAGCATTCTCTAATTGTCCTTAGAGGGCTGAGCCTCAGCAGCAGATTAAAAGTTAGCTGTTGTTGGTTACCCACCAGAGGCTCATATTGCCTCATGCATCATTGTGGCAATGTAACTTCCATGTTTGCTATTTCCCTGATTCCTGGCAGATGCAGAACAAACTGTTCCATACTGGTTGCTTGTTCAACTTCAGTTGCAACCTAATAGCTGATGCTTCTGCAAGTTATTCATCACTAATCTGGCTTCCAGACCTGGAGAACCATCATCAAGTGACTTGACTCTGAACTAAAAGCGCTAGGAAGCTGAGAAGAATATGGTTTTGAAATCCATTGTTATGGAAACATCACATGTGTGTGTGGGCGTGTGGATGATGGTCTGTGTTTTATCTACTGCTGTATTAAACATGTTAGCAACCACATTTGTAAAAGCAGATCTTCAGGTGGAATGGTTTTCTGTACAAACAAACTGCATGCACACTAAGCCAGTTGTTTAATTTATACTTGTTTACTGCAATGAGACACATGACAGATAAATGCTTTACTCTAAAACCTCAGGTCTCCCTAAACTGGTAGTCATTTGGAGTTGCCAAAAGTAATATTCCATCTCCAAGGCTTGTAATAACTGGTACTAAATAAATGAGGTAGATTGCTTCCAGCTGTGGTTCTACAAGAAGAACATACCCCAAAATGCATGTTGAACTGTGCTTACTTGAGCTGATACTTCAAGCTCATTGCTCAGCTAAAGAAACCTGCTTCTGGGCAAATCACAGCAGTTCATAAATCTCCTACTAACACAGTGCCTATCCTAACAGAAAAGTTAACAGAATTAATTTACCATAACACACATCATTAAACAACCTTACATGAGCTGTGTCACACCCTGTGAACTTTTACAACTGCTGGTATGTCAGCAGACCAGATGTTGGAGCTGTGAAAGTCTGCAGCTCGAGAAAAGTGCCCAGTGTGCCCAAACACCTAAACTTATTCTGCAAAATCTGGGTAATGTATTTCTCAGTAATCCTGCCCATTTGTTACAGTTTGGCATTGTGGAAAGGGAAACAGTTTAAACAACCCAGTGCTATTGACAGTGAATATGGAGTAATAAATGATTAATTGGACAGACAACAAATGGTTTGGGGCCCATACTGCCCCCCAACAATAAATTTACTAATACACATTCTTACAACATCATCAGACACAAGATTAGAACAATCCATGAAAGTGTTTAATAGGAACCTTGAAAGATTTAAATCTTAACATACTTCTCTGTGGCTAATGCCTGTACTTGTATCATGTTACTCAGGTACAAGTTGTCTCTCCACTGAGCCATCAGAATAGCATGGACTGCAGAGACTTGCGAACAGTCGCCATCTCCTGCTGTTGCTGTGACAAGGAAAGGAGACAATGCTGAGCAAACGCCGAGTCAGTGTGCTCCCTTTGAGCCACTCACCCTAAATGAGTGGCAAATGGCTTTTCACAGGATGTTCTGTCTTTGTATCTAACTAACGTCCTAGAGCTGATACTTACAGTGTCCATCATGATCTTCTTCTGCAACATAGCCATTTCTTTGCGAAGCTCGTTCTGGGCACCAACTAGAAGACTTTCATTACTCTTCTCCAGCTCTTCCATGGTCTGAAGTTAAGGATAATCTTAATTCAGAACTCTTCAATGTCAAAGGTTAATTTAAAACAAACAAATCAACCATTACTCATACTGCAATTTGATTTGCATAGTGATCCCTGATAATTGATTAGTCTTGTCACAGATTTGTCAGAGGGATCACACAGAACTGTGTACTTCAGGCTGCACTGCTGTTTGAGCACTGTGGAGCCCGTGAAGGAAGCAGTGCCCTGCAGTCAGTGCCCTTCTGCGAGACCTCAGCTAGCTGTTCTGCATTTTGATTGAGGTAAGGGTTCTACAAGAAGAGACTGAACAGACACTTGTCAGGACTGCTAGGCATTCAATATTAACACAGCCTTGGGGGACTTGAAGTGAGGACTCTAAACCCATTGTGTTTCTTTGCACACCTCTCCCCAGATAAGCCAAGTAAAGCTCACTGGTTATCTTCCCTTTGTACATACAATTACACCTACCTCTGTGGACATGTAGAGTTGCATTTTCCTTGTATTTAGCTAAGCTTATTTGAGGCTTAACTTCTACCTTCTGATCTTCTTTGAAGAGAAAAATCAAAGTACTATTTGACCTTCTGGTCAGATTTTCCTCTTTGATGATGATATTTTGGACCAGTTATAAATTCTGCTGTAATACCCTCTGTAATTTCTGACTACTTCAAACTAAGAGTTGCTCTATTTCAGATTTATTTTTATAAACTAAGAGACTTGAACAAAACCTCAAACCAAAGCAAACACCAAGCTTATCCTAACGAACCAAAATTTGCAAAAGGGACCACTTAGGAAATGACTTGAACAGAAATTAAGATTTGCTAGAACCTGATGGACTTGAATCTGCCCCATGTACTTGGGGCCATGGAGCTGGGAAGCAGCTGGGCAGAAAAGGGCATGAGCCAGCAGTGTGCCCTTGCAGCAAAGGCAGCTAACAGTCTCCTAGGCTGTGTTAGGAGAAGTGCTGCCAGCAGGTCAAAGGACGTGACCTTTCCACCCTACCCAGCACTGGTGAGGCCACAGCTGGAGGGCTGGGTCCAGTTCTAGACATCTCAGTAAAAGAGACATGGAAAAATGAGATAGAGCCCAACAAAGGGCCGTGAAGATGATTAAGGGACAGAAGCATTTCCCTTGTGAGGAAAGCTTGAGGGAGATGCAACTGTTCAGCCTGGAACAGAGGAGGTTAGGGGGGATACCTAGTGCCTGAAGTGAGGACAAAGAAGATGGAGCCAAGCACTTGAGGTGCCCAGTGACAGGACCAGAAATGATAAACACAGACTGAAAACAGGAAGCTGGACACTTCACCGTGAGGGTGACTGAGCACTTGAGCAGGCTGTCCTGAGAGGCTGTGGAGTCCCCAGCCTTGGAGACACTCAAAAGCCATCGGGATGTAAGTCCCTGGCAACCAACTCTAGTACCCTCGTGTACCACCTGCTGGCAAGACCTGATGACCCACAGAGGTCTTTTCCAACCTCGGCCCTTCAGTGATTCTGCATTCACTATAGAACCAACCATTTAGGGTATTTTCATTTTTCTCACAGTATAGAATTCAAATACCTTAGAAAAATAGGGGGGGAAGAAATTCTGGGAATAATGTGGTTTGTTCTTAGTGCAAAATCACAAGGGGAAAACTAGTTTTAAACTAAAAAGTGAACTTTTTATGCAGTTATACTCAGAATTATTTTCTGCTTGCTGTCTAGTGTGTTAGCTGCTTTGTTAAAAGAAAACAATTTAAAACACAGTTGATCAGTATGAATCATGTGTTTAACATACATTGTAAGCACTGGTCAAAAAATGGTGTTTGTAGGGACTCCCAGCAAATACAGAAATTAAACAGGACTGTTTACGCAAGGCTGTTTCTTTAAATGGACGTTAAACCTCTGTGTTTCAGAAGGCTGAATGAATACAGTTTGCTTAAGTGGTAAGATAAGGATCAGTTGCCTTCCAAGAAAACTAATTACTGTACCTTTAAGAACTGCTCGTAGAGTTGCTTAATGGTTTTCAGTCTCTGGCTCTGAACTACTCTCGCCTGTTGAAAAACTTTTTGTTGCTGACGAAACATATTCTGAAGCAGAAGTGAAAAAAACCCAGAGTTGCATTAGTTGTTAACCCACAGCAGTGTTGTTTTTCAGCATCAGAATTTCTGCCTACACTGGAAATCTGTGCCTGGTAGTGTAGATCTCTGCCTGGAGAGTTACCCTTGCTCTTATTAATGAAAGTAAGACTGAAGACTGGATGCAGACCTGAGTCACCTCCTGAGGTTCCTTCCAACCTGAATTATCTCTGTAAAAATCTCATGAGGATTGCTATCCCCCGCAGGGAAACTTGGAGTAAAGGCTGCAAATTCACCTCTGTTCCCGAAACTTAGCCATTTACAGTGTGAGAGCCACCAAGCTTGAATGAATTCACTGGCATACAGGTTTTTAAAATCAAGTGGCAAGCAATCCTATATTTGTTTAAACTGCTACATAAAGTGTTTCTACATTTCTCCAGTGTCTAAGCAACCATATTCCCTCCTTGTGAAAATACAGCAAGACTCATGGCATGCTGGAAACTCACGGCCAGCTTTTCTTCCTGCTCCTCTGCTTTCTGCACATCTGCATCCCACTGCTGAAATAAGGTGAGGAACTGCTGGGAGAACTCATGGTTGAGCTTCTGCCTGTAAACAAACACTACCTGTAAATGTTACAGAGAATTCCAAGGAAAGCCAAGGTTCAGCATACACATGCAGGAGAATAAAAGCTGCCAGAGATGCAGAAATAGGCAGTTGTTACATCTGACCCTACACACACACAGAGGGAATGTGAATTATATATATAAGGAGACAGAACTCATATACAAAAGGTTAAAAAGACATGATAACAACTTTTCTTCCTAGCAATGTCAGGTTTTCTGAGCTGCACCATATTTTTCTAACCCAGCTACAAAACCTTTGCTTTAACACAAGGGGTTTATAATGCAGAACTGATTCGCTCATTCATTAATTTACCATGCTCCAAGTTTCTCTATGTAAATTAAAATCTTGTCCATACAAGTTTCAAGTCTACATATAAGTAGAAAACCAAGACCATTACAAGTATTACTGACTTTCAGTTCTTAGCTGTCTGGTTCTGCAGTTTGCTCTACCTGTAGTATCAGGTGTAGTAATTAAATATGCCTTAAGAGGTGACAAGAATGTTATGTAGGGTGAAAATTAATCTCTTTCTTAACCAAAATGGTATTAAAGTTCTACTAGCAATTTTTCAGTTTTCAAGTAGAAAAGGAAAATTCCAAAGTGGAAAAAATAAAAACATTGGTTTAAAAGACAAAAAACCAGCATCAAAGGTCACTTTGCATAAAGATAAAAGCAAGGTCAGTTCTCAGAATTCCAGACCTTAAAGCTGCTCAGTTTAGAAGAGTTTAACAAAGAGGACACAGCTGGAGGCAGCAGAGATACTGAGCAGACAGTTAACTAATATATACAGAACTTGCTATTTGATTGCAAGGACAGATCAACTCTCCATGCTGTGACACAAAAGGGAATCTGGTTCCACGGGTCTGAAAACCAGGATAAACGTTACCTTTGTTCCTGCTGTGTTTTCCAAACATGTTCAATCTTCTGGTTACTGGTTTTGAGTGAGGCTTTTGTATACATTTCTAATCGTTTCCTCTTGGCTAAGAGAGCCTTGTTAATGTCAGCTGAAACCAACGAATATTTAGAGATTAAGCACACTGAATGCATTGTGCTGTTTATTAAACATGCTGAGGGGTTACACTGGAGAAGCAAATGAGGTCTGTGCTAACAAAGAAGCTAGTCTGGGTGCTGTGGTTAGTGTCCCTCAGCCTGCTGTTGGCACTGGTGTGAGTGCTGCTTCCCTCAGCCCCTCAGGCACCAACCCCTGCTCATGGCTCAGCCCCACAACGGGCATGGCATGTCCTTTGAGTCCCACCTCTCACAGACACCATACCAGATAGGACCTGCTGTGATGTGTCTCAGCTTTAGCTTCTTTGGTTCTGGGTCCAGTGTCCGACTGCCTTTGAGCAGACACACCCAGTGAGCTGGAACTCCAGTGGTTTGAAGCCCAGGGAGCTGCAGTGCTTCGGTTCTGTACACTTCAGTGGGCTCCTGGCACACAGTCATCCTGTGGTTCCCTACTGACTGTTGTGGCCCAACATGCCCCTCTAACACATCACCTCAGCAGCAAGCACACACTCTGGCAGCACGGGAAGCACTCTGCATTCTGTTCACATTGTATCTGGGCATCTCACAGGCTGCAAATTCTCCATTCAAAGCTAGAGGTACCTGCACAACCCTAACCCTAACCCTAACCCTAGACATCTTCCTCCTTTCTCTAGTATCTAGTAATTCAATAACACAACCAAAATCTCCATTAGTTTAGCTGCCTGACTGTAGTGCCTCTGAGCTCCCAGACCTTCAAGGAATTCAGTTTTGCTGACCCTTTTTAATGACATCTTCCTCCTTTCTCTAGTATCTAGTAATTCAATAACACAACCATTCAGTTTTGCTGACCCTTTTTAATGACTTCTTTTCCTAGAAATCCACACCTGTTTCAGAGTAATTCTCAAATGACTTGGATTTCAGGAATAAATTCAAGGCAGTGTGTGGTTACTATCACTGTGAACATGTTGAATGAACAACAAACTATTTTTCATACTTCAGAGAGAAAGTACTATTTAAGTATTAAATAGAAGTTAGTGTGTTTCATTTACATTTGGAGATTTAACAAGTCTCAGCTTAAGGTTAATACAACAATTTCTTTTCTGTTTCACTGTAGACTTCAGGGAACATCTGCCAAACCTTTGTGATTTGCTGAGGCATCTGCCCCTGCTTATGCCAAACTTCCTGTTTTGTGCAGACAACATCCTCTCTCGAATCCATTCATTTTTCTCCCTTCCATCCTTCCTTTCCTTCCTTTTTTGAGTCTTAACTTACAAGTAATCATGACTTTCTAACACTGAAATCTTTCTCTTCTCCAAGTTGCCAGATCTGTAATAGCATTCTAGTATGTAATACCAAAACTGTAGTTTTGTGCCAACCAAAAGTCTTAACTCATAGATCAAGGATTTCCTTTAACTCCTTTTTCATCCTCAGATTGGCATGCAAGTACTGACTCTGTACAGCTCTTTTGTTACATACAAGGAAAGTGTTAATCAGCTGTTGAATACACAATGCTGCATGAAGATGGTTTCCCTCCCTGCTGTGGCTTCTTGATGTTTTCTTACACTGTAATGGGCATTACACATTCTTTACAACTGAACGGTGTTTTTTCTCTAACCTGTCAGCTATCTAGAGTGCAGCTGGTAATTTCACTGTAAGTAAAGCCATCTGGGGATCTGATAATGACTACGTCCTACTAAGTGACATGCATAAATCTCTCATCACTACATGACTGGCATTGCTAACACTCATCACTTGGCTCTGCTAGAAACTCCTGCTCTTCCTGACTACTGAAATTCTCTGATCTGCCAACTCCCTGTTCTCTAGATTCCTGAAGGTGCAGAGTACAGACCACTCTCTCATTCTGTATATCCTTCCAAAATTGCTTCTCCAGAACTATTTGTTCTTTCTAGCTGCTTATATTAACATTTCCATGCCCCTTATTTCTCACTCGTCTTGCAATCCCCAGTCTCCTCTATGTCAGTGTGACAAAAGATGGAGTGAGAACCACAGCTCAGTCGCATTGTCCCTTTTCTCTATAATATGTTCACTACCTCTCAAACTTCATATGGAAATTGGAACTGATTATCAAAAGCACTCATGCATTTCTCCCTTTTTCCTTTGTGATTACCTACACTAATGCTTACAACTCACTTCATATGCATTTATTCCCTTCCCTTCTTTCCCTTTCTTTCTCTTTGCTCTACTTAGAACTTTTTTTTCCCTGAAAACTGCCTTTATTCACAAAGACTTGTCGTTTTATGTGAGCCTTGGAAGTTAGTTTATGGTGAGGAATTACTGCCCATTTTGCAACAATTTATGGAATGTAAACTCACATACCTCCAAATCTTTCCAGCATATTCTGCACTTCACCCCTACAAAACAGCATTTGAAAATGTTATTTGCCCATTCTCTGACTGTAGAGTAAGACCTGCTGTATATGCCTAAACCTAATTGTGTTCATGTGCCTATTACTTGTGAGCAGTGACAGAGCTGCTTCTGCTCTCTGAGAGAAAATAGTTGTACTCCTTTTCTCCTCCAATGAGAGGTCTCTTTCTCAGACTGATTTGCTTTCAAAAACATCCAACTAGAATCTATTAACTTACTCCCCAGTAAAAAGGCACTATTAGGCATTTGAAAGGTCTTGGGTGAGGGAAGTCAGGAAATAAAATGTCTTGTTCCCTATACAGAAAGAGAAAACAAAGGCTATGAAAACAAGTCCATCCCAGTTAGCAGGGTTGGCACAGTAAATCCAAGACAAGCAACATCAGGGTAGTTTTTACAGCACCTTTAAGATGGTAACACCAGTGTGTAAGGCAGTGGTGCAGCACAGTAACAACAACATCTGCAAGTCAGCAGTAATAATCTGCCACAAAATTACTTCAGCATGCACTTTTTCTTACATTTGCACTGCCCATAAATATTCAATTTCATAAGACTTATGTAATAAAATAATTTCTTTTTCATGCAAGTGTTGGTTCATTTAAAGTATTGGTAATATCTTTAAGCAACTAAAATCAGAGGAAAAAAATAATGGAATGTAATGAAATTACCAACAATTTAGGTTTAAAAATAATTTTTTAAAAGAAACAACCTTAAAAACAAATATATCACATTTTTATGCATGTTCAAAAGTCTCTTCAAAGAAACTAGAATTACTCATTTTAAAATGTCACATTCTCTTTTTACCTACAGTTACTGTACTATCTGTTACTTGATTTTTTAATCAAATGCTAAAAAAACCCAAACCCCAAACCAACCAAAGCATAACAAGCCTAGTGAATAAATGAAATTGGTGTCTATTTGAGACTTGCTTGTTTTGGAACAGAACCCCAAACCCCTAACCTTACCCCACATCATCTGGCACCACATGAGTCGTCACCAAGGGTCGTTTCTTTCCATGCTTGTCCGCTACTGGTGTGTCACCTTGAGAAAAATTACAGTGATACTTACAAAAACATCATGTTTTCTGGGGGCCATTTGAGCTATGAAAAGTGTTAGTACTTCTCTGTAAAGCCACTTCTCTGGACATGCCTCATGGGTCTCAGTTCTCATCAGCAACACATGCAGCTCCTCAGACTCTGAATGTGGAGCTGACAGATGGGAATGAATTACCCTGCACTGCCCTGAGTTCCTCTGTACAGGTCTCAGCCAGTTTTGCTTTCTCTGTCCACTACTCCCAACCCACAATGTAAGTCATCACTAAGGGAAAAGTAACAGAAAAATGGAAAAAGCCCAATCTGTTCGACTTTTGCTGTGAAATAAGTAACCTTTAAAAGGCAAAGTCACAAATTGGTATTTATGTTTTTTTGAACAAAACATCCTTGGCTGTTGGGCTTCTGTTGATGGGGACAGGGGAGGAGCTTAGTCTAAATGAGTGAAGGGGAGAAAGTAAGAGAAACAAGCCCAGAGATAACTGCTCCAAGGCAAAATGCAGAAGTGGAGTTCCATCAGCCTACAGAAAACTATCACATGATGAGTGAGAACTGCAAAGTCTACTTTTTTATGACATCCCATCAAAATTAAACACAAATACCTCCACTGGTTTGTTTTGGTTTCCCCTCACCTTTCTCTACTTTCTTTCTTTTCTTTGGTTCAGATTCTTCTTGAAGTAGTCTTAACCCTGCCAGACACCACCTACCTTCCCTGAGTCAGCACTCCATGCAAGCAAACAGAGCTCTCTGGCTCTGCCCTGCTCTGCTCTCACAATGTTCTACCCAGGCAGGTGGCAGAAGGATATAGCATTAAAAAAAGGCAACAGAATCATGTAACAAAATTCTGCTCTGCTCCACCTAGAATTCCAAGACATAACAGTGCACTATCCAGAGCTGTTCTGTTTGGTTCTCTCCTCTTAACCACCAAAGGGACACACCAAGAGGCTCGTTGTCTCAGGCATTACAAGCCATCCTTGCTCAGACACTTGCTGGCACAGCAGTGTCTTCCTTTCCATTCCTAGTCAGAAATGTGATCAACTTCACATTTTAGAAACTGTGCTAAAGAAGTCAAAGAAGCACCTTCTCTAATATCTTCCTCTGATCCACTCAGCTCTTTCCTTTCCTCCTCGAAGTCATAGGCAGGTATGGCTGGAGGTTCCTGTGCTGGTTTACCAGCTTTTCCTCCATGCTTTCTTCCCGATGGTGCCATCATCAGATTTTTCCCTATTGGAACAGTATGTGGGATTTGTTACATACCTTTCATAGAATCATACAATCAACCAGG